TGGGGCAAAACTAAAACCTGACAGCCAGGAACTGATTGTAAAAACTGTAGTAAGGCCACAAAAAAAAGACAAAGTAATACTCCTGGCTGTTAGGTTATTCCATTAAAAAGACACTGTCTTTATAAAGTCAGAAACAAGACAGGAATCACCTTCATTCACTATGACTTGAACATTCTACCTAAAATAATGACAAAGCTAGAGATGGTGGCGCACACCTTTAATCCCAGCACTCTCAAGGCAGAGGCAGGCAGATCTCTGTGAGTTCGAGGCCAGCCTGGTCCACAAAGTGAGTTTCAGGATAGCCAGAGCTGTTACACAGAGAAACCCTGTCTTGAAAACCCAAAATAATGATGATAATGTAAACTTACAAATGACAGGTATTTTTTCATAGGTAACATAACAATGTAGACAATGTATGTAACAACTCAAGTTATCCAGATTTATGATAAACTAAGCATGGTGGCTTAGCCTATAATCTCAGCACTTGGGAGATTGAAGCAAGAAGGTTGTGCCAGTCTATGCTAAAGGGTCAGATCTTGTTATCACAAAAACAAAAACAGGCTGGCATAGGCCTATAGTCCCAGCACATGGGAGGTGGAAGTACAGAGGGAAAGCCTGCACAGTGAGACCCTTTCTCAAAACCAGCAAAACCAATCAAAGAAACACAGAAAACCACTCCCTGTGATAAAAGATACATAAAAAGCAATAATAAAAACAAACAAACTCACTTAAAAATTACAGCAGTAGGGTATGGTGGTGCTTGCCTTTTATCTCAGTACTTAGGAGGCAGAGGCAGTTGGATCTGTGACTTTTGAGGCTAGCCTTGTCTACATAGTATATTCCAGGACAGCCAGGGCTACACAGAGACCCTGTCTCAAAACCAATAAACAAAAAGCACCAGAAGCAAATCACCTCCCTAATGATATAATAAAGACCACTGGACTGGGGCTGTAGCTCACTGAAGAGTGCTTGTCTAAGCATGGTTAAAGCCTCAGGTTTGATTCTTAGTACTGAGCAAGAGGAGCAGAGATCTGGATCTTTGTTTGTGCAGCGCTGGCTGGCCTGGAACTTGCTAAGGCCCATGCCTGCCTGCAACTGAGGCATCTGTTGAGGTGGACCTATACTTTCTCATCCTACCTGCCAGCTCTTCCCCACTCCTTCCTTTCTTCATGAAGACTGAGACAGAAGCGGAAGGTAAGTGATACGCTGAGCTCACAACTCGGGTGACCATCTTCTGGCCTTAAATCCTCTGCACAAAAATATTAGTTTTAGAAGCCTTTTTAAATCTTTTATTTATTGTGAGTGTGGTGGTGGTGGTGGCTGATGGTGTGTGTTTGTGTAGAGGTCAGAGAATAACTTGGTAATCCACTCTCTCTTTCTACTTTCCATGGGTTCTGGAGATCAAACTCAGGTCATCAGGGTACTGTAGTAAGTGCTGAGCTATCTTATTGATCTAAGGATGAGAAACTTTTAAACAGTTCATTAGGAGGATCATGCTTGCCAAATGTGGTGGCTCAGCCTCTCTAATCCCTGGCCTGTGGGGGCAGAGTTTCAAGTCAGTCAGGATTATGACCATGATTCAAAAAAAAAAAAAGCCTTTCATGCTCTGACTGATATTGTTCATTATAAAATAAGAAAATGGGGGTTGGAGATTTAGCTCAGTGGTAGAGTGCTTGCCTATCAAGCACAAGGCCCCGCCCCCAAAGAAAGACAAAAATAATAAAACAAGAAAATGTTCAACCTCAGATTAAATTTTATTTTAATTTCATGCTTTGACAAAGAGTCTTTGGCCCAGGCTGGTCTTGAATTTACTATGTAGCCAAGAATAGCCTTTAATTCCTGATCCTTCGGCCTCCATCTCCCAGGTGTCAAGGCACTCACCTCAGACTGATGTTGTTGTTGTTGTTGTTTTAGACAAGGTTTCTCTATATAGCCCTGGCTGTCCTGGAACTAGCTCTGTAGACCAGGATGGCCTTGAACTCACAGAGATCCACCTGCCTCTGCCTCCAGAGTGCTGGGATTAAAGGCGAGCTCCACCATGTCTGGCTTCAGACTGATTTCTAATGGTTCCATGTCAATTATGTCTAATATTCTACAACAAAGTGACTGAAAGTCGCATGCAGCTCAGAGGACAACAGAGACAGACAGTTATACTCAGACCTCCATATCTGTGGAGGATTGTGTCTAGGGTACCTTAACACATCACACAATACCACAATCCACATGTGATCATGTCCCTTCTAAAAAGGAGAATGACATAAAATTTTAAGGTTTTTTATGACTTTTACCCTGAAGATGAATTATCCTGGGGGTGGGAGGTGAGTTTAGAGATCTAAAATCTGAAAGAAAATGCAGATAACCACAAACAGTGAAAAGAAAGATCCAGAACATACACAGGAACACACATTCTCTGCAAACTTGACTGACTTCTGAAGCCTGTGTGCAAAGGCTCTACTCCACGTAGCTAAGGCCACGTGCAGGAGACCACTGCTGCAATGGGCACAAGTGAAGCCCGGGAAGACCTCAGAGCCCGAGTCTGGTCTCTCGCTCACTGTGATGCTGTCTCAAATGATAAACGGGGGCTAGGAGTCAGGGGTGACGGCACACGCCTTTAATCCTGGCACTCAGGAGGCAGAATCAGGGAGTTTCATTAGTTCAAAAATAGCCTGGTCCAAATGGATGGAACTAGAAAATATCATCCTGAGTGAGGTAACCCAAACCCAGAAGGACAAACATGATATGTACTCACTCATAAGTGGATTCTAGATATAAAGCAAAGAACAATCAGACTGCAACCCACAGAACCAGGGAGGCTACATAGCAGGGGGAAACCTAGGATGCCTGTGGCTTATAATAAGTTTAGATTTTACTCAATTACTGGGCAAGCCTCAGTGAAACATTTCACTATTAGGATAAGAATTTATACTGTATCGGGCTGGAGAGATGGCTCAGAGGTTAAGAGCACTGACTGCTCTTCCAGAGGTCCTGAGTTCAACTCCCAGCAACCACATGGTGGCTCACAACCATCTGTAATGAGATCTGGTGCCCTCTTCTGGTCATATATGCTGTATACAAAATAAATAAATCTTAAAAAAAAAAAAAGAATTTATACTGTATCAACCTGATAATAGAAAATAAATAAAAATGAAAGATAAGCAAATAAATAAGGCAAATCTTTAAAAAAAGAAGGAAAAATAGCCTGGTCTACACAGTGAGTTCCAGATCAGCTAGGGCTACAGAGTAAGACCATGACTAAAAAAAAGGATTAAGAAACAGCTGTCTTTGCTGGCTATGGTGGTGGCAGTGATGCACGCCTTTAATCCCAGCACTTGGGAGGCAGAAGCAGGTTGATCTCTGAGTTCAAGGCCAGCCTGGTTCCTGGTTCGCAGAGCTAGTTCCAAGACAGCCAGGGTTACACAGTAAAACACTGTCTCAAAAAAATAAATAAACAAAAAAGAAACCACTGTCTTTGAGCACAATAATTTGTTAAATCTCCAAAAGAAAATATATTTTCCTTCTCAGTTATGATATAAATGAATACAGAATATTCTGATTAAATACCCAACTGATACCCAAGGGGATCAGTAAATAACTCCCCAAATGCCAATTTCTTCCTAGGTAATTCTTTGTTTTGTTTTGTTTTTTCAAGACAGGGCTTCTCTGTGTTGTTTTGGTGCCTGTCCTGGATCTCACTCTATAGACCAGGCTGGCCTTGAACTCACAGAGATCCGCCTGCCTCTGCCTCCCAAGTGCTGGGATTAAAGGCGTGTGCCACCACCGCCCGGCTCTAGGTAATTCTTAAGTCAGACATCTCTAAACTGGAGGCTGAATTTTGTGTCACAGATAGTGCTACAATGTAGTTTCTACAAGATTAAAAAAAAAAAAAAAAGCACTGTAAAAATCCTAATCCTAAATGTGGTCTAAGGAAGAGAAGAATTGTTTTTACTCTTTTTTTTTTTTTTTTTTTTTTTTTTTTTTTTTTTTTTTTTGGTTTTTCGAGACAGGGTTTCTCTGTGTAGCTTTGCGCCTTTCCTGGGACTCACTTGGTAGCCCAGGCTGGCCTCGAACTCACAGAGATCCGCCTGGCTCTGCCTCCCGAGTGCTGGGATTAAAGGCGTGCGCCACCACCGCCCGGCTGTTTTTACTCTTAAAACAAGGAGCCAGGCCTAGTGGTGCATGCCTTTACACCCAGCAGTTAAGAAGCAGAGGTAAGAGTATCTCTGACTTCCAGGCCAGCCTTGTCTATATAGCAAGATTCCAGGCCAGCCTGGACTACATGGTGAGACCCTTTCTCAAAGGGAAAAAAAAAAGTAGCCAGGTGGTGGTGGTGGTGGCGGTGGCGGCGGCGGCGGCGGCGGCGGCGGCGGTGGCAGCGCACGCCTTTAATCCCAGCACTAGAAGTCAGAGGCAGTGGATCTCTGAGTTCAAGGCCAGTCTGGTCTACAGAGCAAGTTCCAGGACAGCCAGGGCTACACAGAGAAACCCTGTCTCTCAAGGAATAGGGATGTGGTGGTGGGATATAAGTCTGTTCCACAGAAAGTATACAAAGATGCTTTTTAAACAAGGAGCAATGTTCTTCATGGAGCCCCCGGTACAGGTGACATTTTAATACAAACATGATAGAGAAGGGATATGGTATGGTCTGGACTTTCTCTTCAAAGAACTGAAAAATTTCTACCTATCTTCCAATACGGCAAAGGCAATGTCAAGTTACAAATTCATATGCAAGTCTAAGCTGAAACACTGTTAACAACTTTTTAAAATTGTTACAATAAATTTAAAATTCCAGATAAGACAGACCAAGCAGGTATAGCTTGTGAGCTGGCCTCAGCATAATCCCGTGAAGGCTATGAATGAAGCCTAACATCTGTAGATGACAATGTCAAAAAGTTGGTCCCTCCTGACAAACACTGGCAACAGAAAACTAGCAACAAGTTTATACTTCACATATAAACACGATGTACACCAAAAACTGAAACAGAATTAGGGCTCGGACTTACCTTAGGAGGAGTTCTTTGGGAAGTTTTTTATTGATTACAGCTTCATCACTGTTTGAGAACATCTGTAAAAAAAAAAAAACAAAAAAAACACCAAAAAACCCATTAACATTTTATCAGTTAGGAGGCAACATCCCCAGGAGAAAGGTTAAAAGGTTAAAAGAAAAAAAAAAATAGCGGGGAGCCAGCAAAATGGTTTAGGAGGGAAATGCTTCCATGCCTGATGATCTGAGTTCAAATCCTGGGAACCACAGGTAGGAGAATTGATGCTGAAAGCTGTCCTCTTACCTTCTTTACAAGGGGGAACCACAGCCAGATGTATCAGGTACAAGGTATGGTGGGGCAATACATCAGTTTCCTAAATTACCACAGCCTTATATCCAATCTAGTGCCTACACTAATCTACTAATCTCTAATCACAGAAGCCTCTCCTCTCCAGTCTGTAAAAGGGATTTTCTTTGTTCTGAGTACCTATTGGAGCGCCTGTCAGAGATCCACCTGCCTCTGTCTCCCAGTGCCGGGATTCAGGGCTTGCAGCAGCACCACCACCACCACCACCACCACCACCACCACCACCACCACCGCCGCCCGGCTTCAGCGGCTTTTTGGTTTGGTTTGGTTTGGTTTTTTAAGACAGGGTTTCTCTGTGTAGTTTTGATGCCTGTCCTGGAGCTCGCTCTGTAGACCAGGCTGGCCTTGAACTCACAGAGATCTGCTTTACTCTGCCTCCAGAGTGCTGGGATTAAAGGCGTGTGCCACCGCCACCCCCTAGCCCTTTTCTTAATGGTATTTTGTTGTTGTTAGATTCATGATTTTGGTGTGCTACACAAGAATCATAAAGATTTCCTCTATACTTTATTCTATGAGCCTTATAGTTTCAGCTTACATTTAGGTCTATGATTTAATTTTTGTATACAAGAGGTGAGAACCCACCTACTTGGATATCTACATATCTACACACTATTGGTTCGCTGTCAGCTATTTGATTTTTCTTTTCCCAGTGAGTGCCTTGGCACCTTTATTGCAATCATTTGAACCAAAGTGTAGAACAGTTTCTGGATTCTCAATACTGTTCCTTTCAACTCTATGTAATTTTACATCAATTGCTTATTATTTTGATTATTGTAGCTATATAGTTACATTTTGAAATTAACATCTGTAAGGGTCTCTGTACATTTTCAAAATAATTTGAACAATTCTAGACCCTGAATTTCTCTATGAATTTGGGATTAACTTGTCAATTTCTGCAAAACTCATTGCTGAAAACTGTGACTTGTGAGTGCACCATACACACAGAATTGGAGGACACTGCTATTCTAAAATTAGTAGTTTTCCAAACTAGAATCATGGATTATATCTCCATTTATTTAGAATTACCTTGAATTCTCCCAGTAATTTTGAAATTTTGTCCTGGAACTCCCTCTGTAGACCAGGCTGTTCTGGAACTCAGAAATCTGCCTGCCTCTGCCTTCAGAGTGCTGGGATTAAAGTCATGTGCCACTACTGCTTGGCTTTAATTCCTTCGTTTAAAAAAATATATTTTTTTTTTGCAAACACTCATTTTATTTACAATAACCAAAAGGTAAGAAGAGTCTAAGTGTCCACAGATGGCTGAATGTGCATCCCATACACAGAAATTAAAAGGATATTTGCTTAAATTTAATAAAGAAATAAATATCTGATATATGTTACAAACATGACTATTTGGAAGAGATCTGGGAGGGCAACATGTATCCATGATGGAAAAAAATATTTTTTTAAATTATTTTCCTAATGGTTGCTCTAGCAGTTCCAGTCTGCACCTTAACTAGCCACAATATACTTCAGATTGCTCATCTCTATAAAACACAGAAACTATACAAGAGAACTCTCCTTTTTCCCTTTTCTTTTTTGTGATTATGTATTAATCTGATAAACCCCAAACTACAGTTCTTAATTATGCAACTGTCTTTCAATTCAGCTAGATAATAAAAGAACAATTTATTTATAGTTTTATATATTTACCTCTGTAACTAACATTCATAGTGTTTTTTCTTCAAGTTACCATCTGGTACCATATCCTTTAAGCTTGAACAACCTTTAATAGTTCATGTAAGGCAGATCTGCAAACAACAAATGTCTTGGTGCTTGCTTATTGAGGGTTTAAAAAAATTTCCTCCAATATTTTGTGTTTTGGTTTGAGGTTTTAAAACAGGGTCTTGATCTATAGCCCAAGTTAGCCTTAAACTCATATGCTGTTATTTCTGAATAGCAATGTGTGTGGGTTCTCTGGAGAAACAATATCAGTAGAAGATCTGTGCATCTCTTTTATCTACGTATATATATCAAGGGATTAATGTTGGAGATTATTAGCATGTAGAGACGATATCCAAAAGCCCAGAAGCTCTGATGTCCAAGGGTAGAAAACAGATGTATTAGTTTAAGGGAGAGTGGGAAGGGAAATATCAGAGAAATACTTTATTTCTTATCTATGTATCCCCCCCTAAAGTTGACACACAAAATTAACCATCATTATTGGCATAATTTATTGACCAGTAAAGATTAAACATAGGGCCTTGAATATGTGCCTTAAACAAGCACTCTACATTTCGGCCCTTTGAAAACTTGTCTCAATTAAACAACATTTACTTATTTTCACGTGTGCACAGTACACATAGAGGTCAGAAGACAACTTGCAGAACTTGGTTCTTGACTTCTATATGGGTCCCAGGGATGGAACTCAAGTCCCCAATTTGGTCGAAGGCCTCTTAACTGCTAAGACATCTTGCTGGTCCTTATTTTTTTACTTTTGAGGTCTCATTGAGTTACTCAGCCTAGCTTCTTGATTCAGGCTTGTGAATCAAGATTGTAGGCAATGTGTAGGCAATGTTCCAGATTGCAGGCAATGTGTCACCACACTCACTCAACGTTTCTGACACAAACTTTTGGTTGCTTTTTTTGAGACGGGTTTCTCTCTATAGCTCTGGATGTCCTGGAACTAACTCTACAGATCATACTGGCCTCAAACTCACAGAGATCTGCCTGCCTCTGCCGCCAAAGCACTGGAATTAAAGGCATGCACAACCACCAACCAGTCAATAAAGCTTTTATAAAAAGAGAAATTCATGTAACATTGTTTTGAAGTGTGCATTTTAGTGGGATCTTAGTGCATCTTAATGTACTTAAAACTGCTGTGCTATTACCATCTTCCTAGTTCCAGAATGTCCTTATCCCTGCAGAACACTCTGTATCCAATAAGCAATCACTTGGGAACATATTTTTCTTCAGTCTATGAATTTTTCTATGCCTGGTCACTTCATAAAAAGGGAATCGAAATGTGACATGTTATGCATCACTGATCTCTTTTTATAACGGTTCTGAGATTTATTTACATTTTACTGGTATCAGTACTTCATTTCTCTTCAGATCCTTTGAATATACTACATTTTGTTCATTCATTTATGTTAGTGGTCACCCAGGTTGTCAACAGGCCTTTGGATATTGTGACTACTGCTGCTATCAGCATTCCCCCCCCCCCACCACCACCCCCCTTTTTCACTTTTGTTTTTCCCCCCCGAGACAGGGTTTCCCTGTATAGCTATGGAGCCTGTCCTGGAACTCACTCTGTAGATAGACCAGGCTGGCCTCAAACTCACAGAGATCCATGTCTCCTGAGGGCTGAGATCAACTGCGTGCACCTCCCCCCCGCCAGCTGTTTGGTTTTTGAGGCAGAGTCTCTCTATGTTGCTAGGGCTGCTTTCTAACACATGAACTCAAAGTGACCTTACTGCCTCCACTTCCTTAGTTATGAATTCTGGCATATGACAACCAAGCCTAGCTAGAATTCTTCTACTTTCTTCCTAGTGTTGCTGGGGACTGGCCTCAGAGCCTTACTCACACTGCTTAACAGCTCCACTGGAAGCAACACCCAACCCCACAAGTCTTGATCATCTTTTTTCTAAAACACTGAATATCAGCCAACTGCTTTTTGGCTCTTCACTCTTCCTTTTGCTTGCCTTAGGCTACAAATCCTACCACAGACTCCCAAAGGTTTGGTTATGGGTATGTATCACCACATCTGAATGGCTAGTATTTCTGATGAATGTCAGCTGTTAACCATAGTGCTATTCCTTTGTATATGAACTATTTTTTTCTTGTTTTCCAGATTTTGTCTTAAAACAGTCCGGTAACAATTTAGCCAGGTGAAGATATCTTTGTATTTACTCTACTTTAAGGTCACTAAGATACTGACCTGTACAGATCAGTATTTTCATCCAGCAGGGCATGGTGGCACACACCTTTAATCCCAGTACTAAGTCAGGAAGCAGAAACAGGCAAATCTGTTAGTTTTAAGTAGCCTGGTCTACACACTGACGTCTAAGTCAGCCAGGGCTACATAGAAAGACCCTGTCTCAAAATAATAAATACAGGTATTTTCATCCAATTATTGGACACAGGCTGAGCATTATTCCCAGTAGCCCAAAGACAAATGTAAGTTAAGTGTCCATCTACAAATGAATGTGTTAGCTGGGTGGTGGTGGTGGTGGTGGTGGTGGTGGTGGTGGTGGTGGTGGTGGTGCACACCTTTACTCCCAGCACTCAGGAGGCAGAGGCAGGTGGAGCTCTGAGTTCAAGGCCAGCCTGGGCTACAGAGAGAGAGATCCAGGACAGGCACCAAAACTACAACAGAGAAACCCTGTCTTTAAAAAAAACCAAAAAAAAATAAAATAAAATGTGTTAGATACATGTAAGTAGGAAGTTTAAGAGAAAAAAAGGAAGTACACTGAGGAGTTACTTGGTGTGGAAGGTAGCTCTCAGCTGGCTCAGGTGTCCATGCCTGTAACACCAATGCTTGGGAGACAAATGCAGGAGGATCATGAGTCTGAAGCTAGCCTGGGCTAAATACTGAGACCATTTCTACAAAAACAAAACTAAAAACAACAACAAAAAAAAAGACAAGGCTGAGGAGACTCTTCAGGGGGAAAGATCTTGCTACCTAGCATGAGAACCTGAGTTCAAATCCCCAGAATCCAAATGAAGCCAGATGGGCCGTGTACCGGTAATCCCAGCTCTTCAGGGGAGACAC